TGAACACGTATTCAAGAACACTATCGGCGTACGTCACGTAGATCACACTACTTGAATACGTTTGAATACTTAAAATTTCGAAGGGGTATTCAATACTTGAATACAAAAGAATATTTGGCTTTTGGCACAGTGTTTCATGCATAAGATCCCCTGCAGCAAATGAACTATTCAATGCTTGTATAAGTCAGAGTAAAAATTACTCATTTTCTCATGTTTACTCCAAAAATAGTGTAAAATTAATTCACTCACATCTTTTTACTTWAAAGAAGGAGTGAAATAAACTCATATTTTTACTCCAAAGAAAGAGTAAAATACACTCTCACATATTTTTACTCCAAAAAAAGAGTGAATTTTACTCTCCTCTTGACAATGCAATTATCAGTTATGTGACATAGAAAGACTGACATGCATGGGAGAGTAAACTGTACTCTTATTGGAGTATAATTTACTCCTGTAMGAGTTAAATTTACTCCTATAGAGGAGTAAATTTCACTCCCATAAATTTTACTCCGCCTGGTGGAGTAAAATTAACTCCAGTACTAGAGTGAATTTAACTCCTTGAAAATAACAGTGTATAATAACAATAGGAAGAAATTCATATGCAAATATTTGTGTTATAATTGTGGACAAAAGGACAGAGAAAGTGTAATAAAGTTTAGTATAGAATAAAACGCTAAGGTGTGTTCCACGGGTTAATGTTTTGCCTTTTTATTCATGATTTTTTCTCTATGACACCCTTTTTGCAATCGGGTATAGGACTGGTGTATAAACAGCAAAATAAATGATTGTTATTTTGTTTATTTAATAAGCAGTTTTTTAATTCAAGTAGTTCAACCTGCCCCAAGTCATATTTACTTACTCATATCATTCAATTCTGATAGAAATTACTAAAATGTAAAAGACCAAACTATCAATAAGACATTTTATTTCTGTCCAAATAACCTGAATTCATGTACTGCATTGTAGTTATTGTCCAGGACTTCAAAAGAGATTTAATATGTGTATTGTTTCGAAAAGCATAATTGTTTCAAGATATCAACAAATACCATTTTGCAGTAACAATAAAATGACTTTAAAAATTAGCTCAAACCATTTTGTAAATGCACTGAATATTATAATTACCGGTATATGTGAATAAATACTTTTTACATTTTCAAATGACTTTTGATAACTTATCAAAAGAGTACATGGCTATTTACATTTTTTGATTGATAATATACATATTTTTTTAGGATAATTTTTGGATAACTTTCTAATACTTGACAATAAGCATGATAGAAATTGCTATGGGGTTCAATTCCACCAGATAGCAGTATAGAAAAGACTACCATAAGAGCAATCATACGTCATTTTCATCAGTTAGAAATACATCTTCATCTTCGCTGTCATCTTCATCATCACTTATTTCTTCATTCTCATCACCTGGTTCATAATTAACATGCAGATTTCATTCTAGTGACTTCTTGTGTAGTAGCACAGGGTCCAGTTGATCTAAAGGGCTTTTACTTATTGTGGGGAAGGCAGTATGGTTTCTTCCAGGAATGATCTTGAATGGTCTCAGGACGTGTAACGTGTTTACCATGCCATTTACATCCTCCTTGCTGTCTCCATATGTTAGCCCGGTCTCTTAGGACGAAACTAGTTACAGAGTGGCATAAATCACTAAACTTGGTAAAGATGTTTATATGGGTGCAACAATTTTAGAAGGYTATCCAAAAAATCTGAGTTCAGGGGGTGCAAAAAGGGCAAAAAAGGACTTTTATGAAGTATTACTGTTATGGGACAAAAAATGGCCCCAATGGTAGTTGCTTGTTTTTTTTACTCCTGATGGGGAGATAGGAGTTCTAGGAGGTTGTAGGAACTGAAGTTGATGTGAAATTATATAATTACGGCATTATCTAAGCTGAAACACCTAGTGTTTCACACCTAGTGCTTTTTACACCGACTATAAATTATATCATAAATGTGGTGTTTTTGTTCTGTATATGCAATAGATATATGAAGATAGCAAGGAAACTTGAAAAATGAATTATTAGAATATTTTCATAACTGTCCTAAGAATTGGTACATCCTCCGTAGCAGAAACATAGCTCTGTACACTTCAGATGCGATTTGAAACATCTGCATCTGCCTGTGGTTTTCATCACGCTGTAGATGGGCTAGGCTAAGAGCAGTAATCTGATGAGCATGTCTTGTTCGAGTAAGGTGGGATACCTTCACCACACAGGCTCCATAGAGACATTTCTATGTGAAGGCCACCAAGCATAGCGACGTAGACTTTCTCTCCATGTGTTTCTGGCCATCTCCATTGAACGTACTTTAGCCTGCGTAGCGGCCCTAAGGGGATTGGGGAGGGCCGGCCGTCGGGGAGTGGGGAGGAAAATAGGAAGGGCCTGCAAGCGGACCCCACGGTTTTACAAAACGCRCCCTAATTAATATTTTCAAAAGTCTGGCAAATCTAACTTTACAGTTGTCAAAATAAACCAATCACGAAGCGCTATCAGTATGAGGTCGCGAGGTCAACGGACATGAGAACTGTCAAATATTTTTGTAAACATGCTACACCATCAACAACCAGAGCCACAATATTCTTGAAACAAAACTTTTATTGTCCTTGTCTATGAAAAAGTCCGTGAAGCGTCTGTCCAAAGCACTTTCGGCGGAAGCATATATAACATCTACACTCGATAACATGTCTAAATTGTCAATTGCGTCAACCAGATTACATCCCTTGAGTCCAAGACTGAATCTATTTCCAAGATCTGGTCATTTATAATACTAACTAACGAAGAAATAACTATAACAAGAGGAGAGATCTCTTGGAAGCGAAGCTCGAAGCGAGACAACAGAACCAGCACTTGAAAGATTAAACTTTTTCCGAAGCCTGTCGGCAAGATCGCCYCCAAGTCTTTCGTTTTTACGTACAGTTGTTCTAAAGCTTGTCGCTGTTCTTCTTTTAGTGAAATATTGAAGCTTTTTTCCTTTAAATCGCTTAAAGCACGCTGATAACTGATAACAAAACCCTTCTTCATCGCCCGACATATGTTTGTATAAACGCCAACTTGATCTGGTATCTATCACTTTGACATTTGATTGACAGCTTGCTGCTCTCGACCAATAGGGAATTTACGGCCAAATCGAACTGTAGATTTCGTAAAACCGTGGGGTCCGCTTGCAGGCCCTTCCTATTTTCCTCCCCACTCCCCGCTCGGCCGGCCCTCCCCAATCTCCTTAGGGCCGCTACGCAGGCTGAACGTACTTTGCAATGGCGTACAAAGGTTGATCAACTGTGATGACAGGTACCTGAAATTTAAATACTCTGTTACGTCACGAAGCACATCCATCCCGTGCTTTACCATCGATGGCGAAGCTGCTTTCTCGTAAAACAACGGCAAGAGGCCACTAATGACAGGTGGATTTCCATTGGACTGCGTTAGTGATGCATGATCGGCCGCCCTTGATATGTAATCATCTTTTTGGAGGTCATTGGACAGCAAATCAACTCCGTGCTCCATCCAGATTTTCTCCTCGCAAACRGTAACAGTTGCAACATCATCGTCGATAGTTCTATGGGTTTCGGATATATTGACATCTGTCTCCCTCAGAGAAGTGGCTGGTACGGTGGCAAAGTTATCGGGCAAAGTGAAGTTCCGTTGTTCCTTCTTTGGCTCAATCGAGATGCTTTGCATTGGGATTCCTTTGTTCGACATTGTTGGAAATTGAAAAATACTTATCCCAGTTCCATGGAATGAACCTTTTGCTGTTGTTGCTGAGGGATTATGGTCCAGATTGTCGAGAGCTCCGACTGTGAACAAACCAAAGCACATGTTCGTTGGGCAAACAATACCTTCAGATTTAGACTGATCACAAACACTGGTTGCTAATGAATTGGCAAGCTCATCAACTCGTGAATAAGAAACACTTAAGCCAAGATGATAAAAATTGTCTACTAACTTCTTACTTCGAGTCTGGGTATGTACGTTAAGGCCAACGTAAACAGGTAGAGGTGGTTCTCTTGAGTGAATGGCATGTTTTTTTGCCTTCAGATGTTCCTCCTTTCTTGGCATTAAACAATYTTAACTGTGCAATGGTGAGGCATGGCTGTGATATCTCTGCTTCTTGGTCAGTTATGGTTGGCCCGTTTAATAGCATCGACACAAGGCAGAGCAGGCTGGATGGCACGCTATCACCTTGGCAACCAGCGGAGAAGTTTCCTGATAATTGATATTCTTGTTTTTCAAATATATCTTTGCGGATCTTTTTCGACACCCTAGCAAGATCTAATGCTTCCTTTTCAAGATCGTTCGAGCTTAATGCTTCCTTCAAAAGAGACTTCAGCCCTTCGTTAAATACTAAGACTGTGTTCCTTCCAATGGACTGTTCTTGGATATCTTCAGCGAAATGAGCCAAGATTCTATTTTTTTAGACGCGTTTTGTTGATTTCCTTCTCCACATTAAAATTCTTGAGCCTTGAATCGTAAAGAGCATGCAAGTCAAATAACTGAAAACTAGCTCTGCAAAGGCTTCTGCATTATACTCATCTTTATTTGAATTGTTCGCATTTTTTCACGAATGTGTGATCTATATCTAGTGCGAAGGGCAGTCAAACACCTCGAATGATACACGCTGTCATTAGCTATCATGTCAGATCTTCCTGCCAATT